GGCTAGGTGGCACTGAATATAGGAATTGAAAACTTGAACTGCATGTTGGGTAAAAAAGCCTTTATGGAAATGTTTGTCATCTTGGACCAAAGTTAGCCAGGACTCCAGCAATTTATCATATGCTTCCATATATACCATGTCATCTTTATCAAGCTAAAAGAAAAGACCATTCATAAAACAAATATCCAGAAAACTAAAATGGGCATTATAACAAGTCACACGGCTACTCGTAGAAATAGTTTTCTAAGTTTTTCCTTTAACAAAGGTTCCCTATTATTATTTTCTATTAAACCTCTAAAATCTTTCTAACGTCAATCTAAATAATTCTTAGGCAATCACAATTTTGTTTTTTGGAGACGGAGTCTTGCTCTGTTGCCCGGGCTAGAGTCCTGTGGCATCAGCAACGTCAAACTCCTGGGCTCAAGCGATCCTCCTGCCTCAGCCTCCTGAGTGGCTGGGACTACAGGCATGCGCCACCATGCCCGGCTAATTTTTTCTATTTTTCGTAGAGATAGGGTCTCACTCTTGCTCAGGCTGGTCTCAAACTCCTGAGCTCAAGTGATCCTCCCACCTCAGCCTCCCAGAGTGCTAGGATTACAGGCAAGAGCCCCCACGCCCAGCCTCAACAATCTGAAATTAATGTTTATTTTAGAAAGCAGCTGTTCAGTGCTTTGTGGAATCTGTATTTTTCAAATAAAAATGACATTAACATTTTTCTGCAGTGAAGAAGACACTTGTTTATTAGAACAAAAAGATAAAATATGTACATCCTTGGGGAGAACATCAGATGCTCCTTAATAAGTAATAACTCGTTTTACAATAAAAAGAAAAGTAAATTCCATACAGTAGAAAAGTATTGACTGTCTTCAAAAAATTTAATATCCACTGACTCAATTCACAATAATAAATACCGAAAGTGTCCCTCCCTTAGAGAAAAATCAGAAGTTTATTAAACACAACCCCTTTGTGAATGTGGAAATGAATACCTTTCTCTTTTTTTATTAGTTATTTTTTTTCTTACAAAGAAACATGTGGAAAACTTAGAAGAAGGGATGAGTAAAGAAGTGTAGGGAAAGTCAGGTCTTTCCTTGCCCAAAGCTCTGACTGGCTAAACTGGGCCTCTCCACGAGCACATAGGCAATGGCCGTATCTGCACACGACCCCATTAACAAGACCACTGTGCTACACACACACTTCAGCATAGTATTAGCGACATTATTTAGCTTGTTATTCTTAATTTTCCTCCGTCCTCATCTATCTTGTTCATTTAGCTACTATTACTGAATTAGTTTTACACCAAAACTAAACTACTGAGAAATGAGGGATAAATTCTTGGAGAAAAAGGCAAGGAATAGGATGTACATCGCCAAGCTATTTGACAGAGTTATTCGTATCCCCAAATCTCCCTGAATGGAGCTAACATTTTGCTAAAAGGTTATTCTACTTTAAAAAGCTGCAAAGGTTAGGAGGCAGGA